GCCGGTCTCGAGATGAAAAATCGGTACAGACGAACACACAGACACACAGACACACACACACACAGAGAACCTCTCGTCAATATGCATTTTTTGCATTGCATTACTGCAAAAAACGCATAAAAATATCAGTTTTAGAAACGCAACTTCACAGAGGGCGGCAGCATTTTTTAAATGAAACAAGTATTTCCTACTTTTAGCGAGGTAAAATTTTACGAAAATTTGAAAACGTGATATTTCTATATGGCTCACCGCTTCGATGCCAAGCATCACAACGCTGAACGTGGCCGTAAGCAAGATCGGCGAGCCGTTCGTCCCATACCAATTCCTGCATGTTGGAAGCCGGCTCCATGGCTCGCATTCGGTTATGAATTGTGATTATTTGCCTTTTCTGCTCATCGTTGAAGCGATACAATCCGTAGATTATTTCGGCTAAATTTTTTTTGTTGCAAAATATAGCAAACACTTTTCTATCCTATGTTTCTGCTTGGGAGGGAGACGAAGCGCATAATCCTGTTCTCTTGCGTTTCTCCTGTCAGTTTAGTTATATCACTACTTGCGTTACTAAAGCCGCGATGAATACGTTGGTAGCAATAATACCAAGACTGCCCAGACGATCGGCGTGGATATCCGCACTTGGCGAAGCTACTTGGATGCCTCGATATTTCGTGCGCAACTGTGCTAGGCCTTCCGGTCCTGGGCTGCATGCCCACAGTTGGTACCTAACACATGTTTAATACAGATGCGCCTACTTCTTCGGATGTCCATTCGAGTGTTCGCTTATTTTTTCGACACAATATACTAATTTGTAACGCCAAGTCCACTGCCGTCCCACATCCTTCCGGAACCAGGCATTGGCAACAAAGGTCTGTTCCTTTCCGCCACCGTGGAGAAATTAGCATCTCCGCTCTCCCTCTTACCAAATTCTTCACATCCTTTCCTCTTCATCCAAACATTGCACTAAAGCCCTCCAAAAGAAAGATTTTATGTAAACTTGATAAATAGTGTGGATTCGAGTTCAGCATAAAATTCTTCCACCTCATCGTCATAACCGGCCACGATATAAGCAAAAACCTCAATGGAATTGACGGTTTTATTCGAGCACAAGCAGAGGAAGAGTGCGCCGATTTGTGACGAGTGGAACTGACAAAAAATGTAATTTTTTTGACGATAAACTTAACTCTGGCAGGCAATATTTTCTCCTACAGCGCCAAGTAAAATCGCTTTTTTATCTTTTCATTTTGCTCTGTTACGGTGCTTCGTCATATTTTGTATGCACCATGATGTTCGAAAATTTTACCAAAACCAAAAATACTAGTTTTTAGATGAATTTCGAAATTGCAAAATTAACTTACATGTAGCAGCGCCGAAGAAACATAAAAGAACTGCATTTGGCAAATACATCCCTCGTTTGAGAACCGCCTTGATTGGCCTTAAAAGTATCAGTTTCTAGTTTCAACACAAATCTTCGATTTTTCGAATAACGTTATTTTTCGCCAGCAACTTATTTTTGCAGATGTTCTTATCCAGTTCCTCGTGATCGACAACGCTTTATTTCCATTCGCACAATTATCATAATCATTACCATTCTTAATATCACTGCTGCTAACACTGGATCTCTGAATAAGTCGTACAAGCAGCGTGAAGTTTTTCTAAAATGGTCATCTTTCCGAGGCTTATGAGAAATTCCTATGTTTTTTCCTTATCTTACATTACTCGTCACTCATTTTGTCTTGTAAAATTATAATATTCAAGCGCATTATTAATTATTTGCAGGCAGAGACAAGAAAAAAGAAACTAATCAAGATAGCCCGAGAAAACAGACTACTCATGAAATAATGGATCTGTGGTTGAATCTTTAATGTATTTATTTTGAATCTAAAAAAGGGAAGAAGAGGCAAAGCAACAATCGATGACGTATTATATGGTATATTCACAGTATGCCACTGAAGTACTATACGTAGTAGTAAATCGTTTTTTTAACGACAAAATGTCCATGTTTCATTTCTGGCCTGCAAGCAAAAATTTTAACAAGCTTTATGCTTTAATCAGCTGCAGTTCATAAAGTGGCTTCCCGAGTTCAGGTGTATGGGAGAATAAACAATTTGCAAATAAATAGCGTTGCTCAAAAAAGACTTGAATAGAAAAACAGTTAATGTGCAAAATTTGCAACAGTATCTTCATTTAAAAGGGCCCTCGATAGTTAAATAATTATTTAGTTACAACCTGATTTTTGTTGCCTTTTAAAACAAATCTTTTGAAGGACATATGTATCCAAACGGATGAGGTGCACTTTTTTCTCGATGATAATTTATGAGAAGTGGGCAGCACTGAAAAGTTCTTTCGTTTGTGAACATTGATTTCTAAGCGTTCACACGGAGACGGTTCCGAAACACCACGCAGAGCGAGTCCGGGAAATTCATGATAGCACCAATTTTTGTCTCGCAAGCAAACTGCTTAGCGCCTCCAGTAGTGTATGGTCGCACTGATGAACAATGATACACTAACTTACGACAGAATAGAGAAATTTTATTGGACTTAGAACATTCATTCCTCATGCCTTGCCGGTTACATGAAATTAATAGCGGCGCACTCTAGGTTGCTGATGTTACTATGAGTTTTCGCGCCGAAACATGAAACAGTCAGATAGTTAGCACCATGAGTGGTAGTTGTTTTACAGTTTAAAATCCGTACTCATTTTGGAAATGTTTTTGATCATTTGCTGCGATGTGGTGGTCGAAAGGCGTCAGCTAACGTTTGAGCAGGCGTTTTATGAAAGATCATTTTACGGTTTTAGTGCTGTATAAGATGTGCAAGCATCCTCGAGAAATTTGTGCTTTCTAGCCTTTTTGGCTACAGAGAGAAAAGAATGACGAAAGTGTCGCATGCGACATTTACATTAGCGAAAGTTCAATTTTACTCTTGCAAATTCGCACATCTATCTTTTTGCTTCACAGAGTTAAGTGGATTCGAAAATTTTACAAAATTGAATTTTTACTTACGTTTAACACAAAATCCAGAATTGGCAAAAAGCTAAATTTAAATTCTTCAGGTTGTACACGGCAACTAAATATCCTTGCTTAATTTCAGCTTTATAGGTTGACTGATTTCGTAAATGCTTCTTCGCCACAAATATGTTTGTTGTGCTCTTACTTATCCACGTCTTTGAGTGAGTTAAAGATTCTAATTCAACTTTAACGGTCAAGGCGAGATTTCGTAACCATTGGCGAAATGTCAAGCCAGAAACTAGTTTATGTAGAAAGCTCTAACTTTACGAGAGGATTCGTTTTTCGCGATTTGGGGGGAAAATTAAAGTAGTCTCCGGTACGTGCCTGTATCACGAGTTTTAATGCGTTGAAAAATTTAGCGTAACATAAATCGATTTCGCCAACCAGAAATATTTGAGAGCTAAATCCTTACAGGGATATTCTGTGCCTACACGCAGTCGAAATATCTGAATTAGAGTTTTAAAGCAAGCCTAGATTTTGGATGCGTTCCAAGTGAATGTTTGATTCCAGACACTGATGCACTATTTTTTTGAAGATGTTTGCTGCCATTTGCGGACCACCAAGTGTTAAATGAGCTTTTGCTCAGCCCAAAATCCTTTTGACACAGTGATCAAATTGCAACACTCTGTAGTACAGGCGATCTCTACACGAAACGGAAACATGCGAAAACGTAGAGTCGTACG